GTGTATGACGCGTTTCACTGATAATATTTGGTGTGGCCTTTTGTCAACCTTTGTTGCTGCTGCTGTTCTTGTTGTTGTTGTCGCTGTTGTTGTTGCTTGGATTTTGGACAAGTGCGACACGAGCTGCGGTGAAAGTAATTTAAAAGTTCATTAGTGTATATTTGATTTCCTATATATAACATACGTAGATGACACGCCTACAAAATCAACAAAAAGACGCCCCGAAAAGTGTTTATTTTCCATGTTGTATCATTTATCAGTCGATGATGATGATGTTTGAATGAAAAACTAAAAAAGAGAGAAAAGAGAAAAACTACAGCAGTTACAAAAATTCTTTATCTTTACGATGACAAACGAAATGAAATCGGGATTTTTCACATAGGCATTGAAAAGAGAAAGAAATTAATAAAATATAAATGAAGTCTACGATCTAGATCTAGAATCTATTATAATGCTACAGTTACGGTTTTCATTTTTGTAAGTATGATAAACTTTTATAACATAACTCCTATTAGAGTATTGCATGAATGGCTGTAAAACTAGGCAAAAGTTCGTGTGGGATCATTTCGTTCTACAACCATAAATAGTCAATAGATTTAGCACATAAATTTTGCAAAGAAAAAAAAACTAGTTTCTATAATTTACATCTTTATCTCTTTCTAGTACCTCAAGATCTGCTCTCTAAAGAGTTCTAATATGGGTCTCTGCCTATATTTCTCTGTGATTTATATTTATATAATATTTAATAGATTTCTCTTAACTATTTGCCAAATGAGTTTTTTAGCTTTATTTTTGGTGGAAATGAATTTATATTGAAATTATTGTAAGAGATAATGCAATATTTTTCTTGAATTTTCAATATATTTAACTCGTTATCTAACTCATTGAGTTCTCCAAGTCTATGTGTAGAAGAATCTAAATAACGATTGCCCATTGTGTGCACATAGCACAAAGTTGAACCTATTTTTTGACTACATCTCGGTTCCCCCTGCCCCTTGCCCCATGCCCCATGCCCCCCTTCCTTTGCCACGCCTGCGCGCCCCTTTGTGAGGTGATAAGGCGTTGAATTCAGTAAATGTGACGCGTCTCAAAGTTCGCATAAATCGTTGGAGCGCTATTTGCTCTCGAGAGTTGCGTTTTATTTGGTTTTTAAATGAGGTCAAAAGCTGATAAGCTGAGTATATACACATGTTGTTGTTGTTGTTGTTGTTGTTGCTGTGTGTGTGTGTATAATTTTAACGCCCCGACTCGAACTCGTGGCCCGCCTTTGAAAGTCAAATTGCGGCCGAGTCGTACACAAGTTTGTTTTCTTTTCTTTCTTTACCTTCAAGGTTAGGCGCGTCTAGGCTTTATGGTTTTTTTTATTTAGCTGACCTATCAAGGCATCGACGGCAGCTGCTAAGATCTCACTATTTATCAAATCGAAATCAAATTACGGCCCCAACCTAGTATTAGTACACAATTATGCGAGGTAGGTCTATGAAAAATGGTCACATGACATCGACAACGACAACAACGTCAGCAACAACAACAACAGCGACAACGACAACGACAACTTTTGCTGCGACTGTGGGTCGGCAGCTGTGTTTGCCAACGTCACGTTGCAGAGAGCGGGACGCTTGACAGAGGGGAGCCTAGGCAGGCGGGGCTATAAGGGGGGCAGCGTGACGTGCCCCAAAAGCCAAACAGCCAAATGGCAATGAACTTTACCGTTGTGTTTTCGTTTTTCCAGAAAAAAAAACGTAGAACGTGCCCAGACACGGCTTCGTCTTCGTCTTCGACTTCGTCTACGGTCTAGCCTATCCAAAGAGCCAAAAGCCTAGCCCCAAAGTCGCGTTAGTCTATTAGTACTATTGACACTTGTCGACCCAACATGCGGCCTGTCACTCTGCAGATCACACACACACACGCCAGACACACACACACCTTATGCACAGTCATGCGATTAGCCTGATAAAAGCAGAAAAAAATTCTCGACTCGGCATGACGAAATCCAAATACGCTATACTAGAAAGAGAGAGAGATAGAGAGAGAGAGAGACAGAGGAAGTGGCTAGAAAAATATAATATAATAATTTATCGAGCTTATAAGATATAAGAGTTCATGTGAGTTTCTACACTTGATTGAAGCATATACAAAGTCATAGTCTGAGCGAGTTGATATGGCTCAGTTGTATTGAGGCAGATTTACTTTAAGTAGAGCCGCAAATGCTCCTTAGACACACGCATCATACAAATGATTATAACTAGGGAATTCATATGCAGAGTTTAGACAATATAAATTGTTACTATGAAGAGTATATACAATTTTCTAGGGCCGAACCATTCCATAATACTCCTTAAAGTCTGATCGTAAGGTATTTGCAATCCAAAATCATCTACATTATGATTATAGAACAGTGACAAACGAAAAAGGAAATAAACAAGAGTCTATAATGAAAGATATATAGTGAGAGTGAAGAAGTGAAACAGGGACTAGCTAGAAAGAAAACTGAATCAACTCAACAGCTGAGCTAATCAAAAAAATGATATATAGAATTGTATCTTCTGAGTGATACTTTTATGTTACCTAGCTCCCACTCGATCTGTAATACTCTTAAAGAGTAAGGAACTGAGGCAGCCCATACCTCAACTGAAGAAGTCAACAGCGGATCGCATGGCGCATGTCTTGTCTCCGTTGTCCAACCTCTCATAATGTCGGAGTTCTACGCTCACAATCTGTCTCCACATATACAGATATACATACACGGTGTCTCGGTTAGACTCGACTCGAAACGTTTTCTATATAGACTCTATGCGGTCGTCGGTTTAAGGTTCCTCTGCTTGCTGCTGTAACCCGACATCATTCGACATTCGACGACACTCTCGACATTCGGCATTCGGCACTCGGCATTGGGCACTTAGCACCATTGGCACCAAGCGCGATGCCAATCAGCTAGCCTCAGTTTAGGTGAGGGGCAGATGGCGACAGAAGAAGGAGGTGTCAGTAGGGAAGGGGAGAGATACCCATACACAGTGGGTCGAGCAGCTAATTATGCTCAGTTTCAGTTTGTGAAGTGAGTGAGTGAAATGATGACAATGAAAGGCAACTCATGTTAGAGCATATAAAATAACAAACTCTGTATAATGTATAAGAGGGATTGAGTGAAAAATACAAATGTTAAAGATCTTTATACTTCGTGTAATAATAAATTTTATTATATTTATAAATACCAGAATTACGGAATGAAATACTTTTGTAAATTACTTCATTGATTCTCTCTTTTATGACTTACAGCTAGCTCTTCAATTTAATATACAATTTATGACATTGCTTCAATCCAATTTTATCCATATTTGCTCCACTGTGGCTAGACATTTCTTTGAAGCGAAAATCAACACAACTTAATTTTAGTGCTAACTAATGATAAACTAAATTTTATGATAAGATCCGCAAAACTTTATACCATATAACATATTTACACGCGATACTCTGTGTGTGCGTATGTGTGTGTGTGGATATTTGATACACGCACAATCCACAGGGGTGCCCAGAGCTGGATCTAGAAATTCACAACTGGTTTCTGATGTTTGCTTTGGTTACAGCTGCGATTACCAATTTGGAATGGTTCTATGGCCGATCCTAACGATCCTCAGCTACAAATTGTTGTTAATTTAACCAGTAAATATTTCTTTTAATTATTTATGCTGCTGTTGCCGCTGCTGCTGCTAGCGTGTGTGTGTTAATTTACACCTGGTCTTCAGTACAGCTCCAGCAGCTTATCTCTCTCAGTCCTTTTCAAAGGTCAACGTTTGATGTTCCTATTTGCTTTTTAATTTCTGCCAGTTAAATTACAATTTTATTATTTATGATAGATATAGGGAAGGAGATAAGCAGGCAGAGGCAAAAAGAGAGAGAAAGGGGGAGAGAAGTATGTAGGGAATGTGAAGAAATGTGTGTATGCTATGTAAATAAACAATTTGTGCGATGGGCGCGACGGAAGCTTCAACCGCACCATAAAGTTCAATGTATGCCACTGCGGTCAGCATTATAAATGTGCGTGTGTATATGTATACATGTGTGTGTGTAAGTACTGTGTGCGCTTGAATAGTGTAGAATGGGTATATTGATTAGAGAAAAACAAGTTTTGTTTCAACTTAAAGTAATTAAAATTAAGATAAGTCCTTCAAAGAACCGTGAAATTCTCATAAAATGCCAAAATCTTTAATATCAAATGAAATTCTATGTATTTTACTGTCATGTTGGATATATTTGATTTTTGTCAAATTTTGTCATATTGAAATATTTCTCTTCCTCACTCTCTCTTTTTCTTTCTTTTTTATAAAGCATTTCAATAAATGTAGTTATTCCCTTATACATTCTATCTCTGCTTAAAAGTAATGAAACTAAAGACTCTTTGTCTATTTCTCAAAACAAATAGGTTACAATTTTGACAAGAATAAATTTGATTTCAAGAGAAAAATCAAATTTAATTGTAAATGAATTGTAAATTGATACACGATTCGCAACTCTTTCGAGCCTATGACAAATGTTGCGTATGTTGTACTTTGTCATTGTTGTGGTTGTCATAGTTGTTGTTGTTAACGTTGTTGCTGCTGTTGTTGTTATTGTAAGAGTGTATCGGCTCTTTCTGGCACTCTGTCCGGCTTTGCACTCGACGCTCACCCCGATAATTAGCTTAGGGGTTCAACATTGCAGGTCAACGGTTTTGTTAACATATTATAAGTTATTTTAACCTTTGGCCGATTTGCATGCGAGCCAAGCCCAAACGAACCGAGCTGAACTGAACTGACCCCTAGCCGACTCTGAAGCGACTCTGACTCGGACTGAGAATCGGAAGCGATATTTCGAGTCGACTTTAGTCAATCTGCCAATACGAGGCGTAATCTTTAGTAAGCTTTTGAGTGCTATACGCACGGCACAGCTCAGCACACAGATCCGTCAGCAACAATCTCTCGCTCACACAAGCTCCACTCTCTCTCTCTCTCGCTCTTGTGCAGGTAACACGCCCACAGACATACTGCAGCAGAAGCCCGCGAAGGCAACGACGGCCACGCCCGCCAAACACCAAAACGAGGAGCAGGCGCAGCAATTTAACTCTCTGCCCGCGGCGGCGGCCACTAAGCGCAAGCACCTCGAACGGCTCGCCAGCGATCTGCGACAGCAGCAACAGTTGCTCAGCGGCAGCAGCAGCAGCACTGCAAACATGCTCAGCGAACGCTCGCTGCTGCTCAGCGGCTACGGGGCCATCGACAGCTCAAAGCAGCTGCGAGAGGCCAGCAGCCCGACAACAGCAGCAACAGCTGCAGCAGCGACGGCAACAAGTGGTAACAGCAATGCTGCCGCCACGCCGGCAGCAGCAGCCAATACCTCCGCCACAACAACAGCAACAGCCACAGCAGCAGCAGCAGCCGCCGCCGTGGCAACAGCAGCAGCAGCAACGACAGCAGCAACGAATGCTGCTGCTGCAGCCTACGCTGCTCTGTACTTTGACAGAGTGAAGCATGAAAAGCTGTCGCCATTGCATATGACGAGCGCACAGATTGATTCGCTAAAGGATGTCTTTTTGGAGTCTACGGTCATGGTCAATATTCACAACAACAACAACAACAACAGTAGCAGCAATAACAACAACAACAACAACAATAGCAGCAGTAGCAATAACAACATTAGCAACACCAACAGCAACAGCAATCATCAGCAACAGTTGCTCAGCATCAACAGCAGCAATGTGAAACGGGAGCGTCTCAGTCCCAACACCAACAACAGCAATAACAACAACAACAATGGCGAGCTGTCCGTCTCCGCGGCATTTGCCAGGTGAGTGTTAGGTGAACCGGCAACATAATAAATGGTTTTTTATGTAAAGCCTTATCAGGGAATTAGTTAGATACAAGAATAAGTCCAAATATCGCGAGGCTCTGCCCTGCAGCTGGTCCTGGCTTTAAGCTGTGAAACCGATGGATATTATGTAAATTTCATTTATATTTAGAGTGAACATATATATTCTATATATGTATAACTTAAAAGAGGTGTGGATTTTGGGGTAAAACAAAAATTGAAAAGTGGAGATCCTTACGAGTTAGAAAAGGAATAGCGTTTGAAGATTCGATTTCATTCCATACAAAATAAATCTATTCAAAACTTATACAATAGCTTTATCTGGCCCTTCGCTTTTGTCACGAATTCTAATTAATACTGGGGCTTTACAATGTGTAATAAAACTCAGCAAAAGAGTTTTACAGTCCACATAGACATCTGTAGCGATGGATAGGCACACCAGGCACCAATCATAACAGCTTATATAAGAATACAAGTTCTTCATTTATAATTCATTCTGTCTGTAAATTTCTACTACCGACTTTACACATTTACAATGTATGCAGGGTATTTAAAAAGTTCGCTAATTGAAATGTTTCACGGTGTGTTTATTTATTTATATGTGTTGAAAGTATCTGGCGCTGAGAAACGGTGGATTCCTTGCGCTAAGTTTGGTCCTTCTTCTGTGAACTCTCTCGACTATGGTTTAGATCCTTTTCCGCTGCGGATTTCTGGGGCCCTGTAGAGGATGCTCTGCCGCTTGAAGTTTTTTGCACCGTTGTTGACTGCCGCCTCGGTATCCGATCGCCATGCACAGTGGCGAACATATTGTGATAGTGCTCCCGGCGCAGCTGCTCGAACTCCTCGCGGCGCTGGCGACGCTGCTGCTGAGCCTGGGCGTCGCTGGCATCGCTGCTGGCGGCCAGTCCGGCGGGGGTATCCGTAGGCAAACTGATGGTTATGGATGGATGATTGGTGATTTGATTGGTCCGATAGCTGCCGCTGACGCGCAGTATAGAAGCGGGCCGCGAGTGCATCTGGCCCTCTTGCTCCCTATTATCGTCCATGATGGGTTATTAAATGGTTTCTGATCAATTTATATCGATTTTTTCGAGATGTTATGGAATTACCAAAAAAAAAAATGTCAACAGACAATTTTGTAAATGCTTATGTGATGACTTCCACAGTTCGCCCCAAAGTATACCCCTTGGCCGTATTGTTGTTGTTCTTATTGTTGGGATCTCTCTCGCCTGACAAATTAATTATCATTTTAAGCAAATTAATGCCACGAAAAATATTGATATTGATATCGGCTTTGTGTGTTTCTGTTTTTGTTTCTGTTGTCTTGGCTACCGTCTGTAACGGCCCAAGAGACAGCAAATTAATCAAAATGCTTAAATACAATCCGCACGCTTTTGCTGTCAGCGCAGAGACAGAGAGAAAAAACAAAAAACAAATACAAACACGAGTAGGCCAAAAAACGCCGAAAGCTTCAAATTTAAATATTAAACAAGTTAATAAACTCGACCCCAGCTGCCAAGAAAATGACCAATGTTCATTCTACAAAAACAAAAGCTGAAAAAGATTTCAACAAAAATAAAATAAATGATTCGCACTACTTAATTAATGGCGTTACAAATTTAAACATAGATTAGCATAGGCATTGATATCAACAATTAATCAAAATTTCAAACTAATTTATGCATTACAAAGAATTATGAGTCCAATTTAATTCCTGCTGCGGCCCGAAAAATATATACATAGACAAATATAGATACAGATACAGATACAGATACAGATACAGATACAGATACAGATACAGATACAGATACAGATACAGATACAGATACAGATACAGATACAGATACAGATACAGATACATATACAGATACAGATACAGATACAGATACAGATACAGATACAGATACAGATACAGATGCAGATGCAGACACAGATACAGATGCATTTCATGTGGTGCATTTTCTTNAGAGAGAAAAAACAAAAAACAAATACAAACACGAGTAGGCCAAAAAACGCCGAAAGCTTCAAATTTAAATATTAAACAAGTTAATAAACTCGACCCCAGCTGCCAAGAAAATGACCAATGTTCATTCTACAAAAACAAAAGCTGAAAAAGATTTCAACAAAAATAAAATAAATGATTCGCACTACTTAATTAATGGCGTTACAAATTTAAACATAGATTAGCATAGGCATTGATATCAACAATTAATCAAAATTTCAAACTAATTTATGCATTACAAAGAATTATGAGTCCAATTTAATTCCTGCTGCGGCCCGAAAAATATATACATAGACAAATATAGATACAGATACAGATACAGATACAGATACAGATACAGATACAGATACAGATACAGATACAGATACAGATACAGATACAGATACAGATACAGATATCCAGCTATACATCTATTTACTCATTCTGACCTGCTCGATTTAGAGCGGCCTAGCTTATTGGCTTATTGCCTTATTGGCTTATTGGCTTATAACCTTATTAATATTAATGAGACACGCTCTTCGTATCAGCTTTGTTTTGTGAATAGGGAGGTGTTTGTTTAAACTTTTGTAGCCAAAGACACGTTGGATGTCATTGCCTTAAACAGATACGATAAGTATCTTTGAATTTGATTTGAGAATCGCTTGGAGTGTGGTCTTTGTGCAGGCTTGAAAACCTTGATTAAGAAGATTGTTTAAATAATTTGATAGCTTTATTTTAATTGAGTTGCTAATGAGGCCAACACAAAGAAGAACGCCAGCGGCTTTATACTTTTAGTGGCATACGTTATTAATTATGTGGGAAAAGTCAATTTGCTATATACTGTTTAAGAAAATTTATTCATTTTTAATCAGACAAATCGATATCGAGTTCACGCAGAAATATCACGCGGATTGACGGTGACATTTTAAATTATTAGAGCGTTGACACTATTCATATATATCTTTCTTATACCTATCTTATATCTTATAGCTAATATATATTATCTAATATCTTATACTTAATAACTAATATCTATTATCTAATATATTTTATCTTACACCTTATATCGAGCTATAGCTTCAAGAACAGCTCAATAACGTTTTGTACTTAACTTAACACTTAACACTTAACCTTAAGTGTCTGACTACACTTCAGGCCAAAGACAAACGCTTCACATTAAACATAATGCATTCACCCTAGGCTATGCATTTACTCAAGTTCAAGTTGGCTCTTCAACTAGACTTGAAATGTTTATGTTGACTTGTGATACTCTAACCGATTTGTACCGCTTCTGACGTACTTCTCAGCCAGGCTTGAACCATTCTTTGATTTATTAATATATTCAGTTATTATAATATTGTTGTTGTTGTTGTTGTCGCTATTCACTTAATGGTTTCTGTATCGGGTTACCATTTGGGGCCTTTTATGTTTTGTGTCTCAAATTTGTGCGACATTCATTGATACACATTTTATTTTTTCTTTTGATTTTAGAACTATGCTAATTTCTTCCTCGTGTTGCTTTGCCTTGTTGGTGTATGTTTTTGAGACGTGTAGGCGTAACAATAGACACCATTAGCATATGTCTACTCGATAGGAGTAACAGCGCCCAGCCCCAAAGCCAATTAGCCATGCCATAGATCAGCACCGTTAGATACTCACACACACACACACACATAGATCGTAACAGTAGCTGAATACATATGTATATGATGTTTTGTTTTTTCTTTTCGGGGGAGAGGCTTTGTCGATGGGGCCAAACATAATCACATCGAAAACAATTTGAACAATTGCCAAGCTTAACAGCAACAACAGCCAAATCAGACAACAATAACAGCTTAGTAGCTGCTACCAATCGCCAAAGCAATTTGCAATAATCAACATTTTTAGCAAACAAAAAACAAAAACAAAAAATTAAAAAACAAAAAGAAAAACTAGACAAAACACACTTAACAATAAAAACAAGACAAATGAGTTAACAACAAACTAGCCGAAGTAGATATACCCTTCATATCCACAAGGTATATTCACCGTTCTCCCTCAATAAGGTTATTCTCCAATAAAAGCTTCGAGTAACAGTTCTAGTCACAAATATAAAAATAAAATGATATACTGAAGTTAGGGTATTAGAAATGTTGCAGTTGTTCATTGTAGAGCAGCAGGCGATAGCAGCAGCAGCAGCAGCAGCAGCAGCAGCAGCAGCAGCAGCAACATAAAATCGACAGCCAAACAGATCACGATAAATCAATGGCTGTAAAAAGCCAGCAGCAGCAATAACAACAACTACAGCAACTGCCTTTAGCTTTATAAATATGTATGTATAAATATGTATGCAAACATATATGTTTGTAAGCATATCGGAATCGGCAGCCGCTGCAGCTAACACGAAATGAGCGACGACGTGCAGCACGAGTTGCAGGCAGCCGGCCAATGCCAATGCCCCAAGTCGCCTGCCCCCGACCGGTTCGCCCCACATGCACTCAGAGCAGTGCAGCACACTCAGCTGAACCTTGTTCACTTGCCGGCGCGTCCCGGCCAAGAGGCACTTGCAGCTGCACCCAAAACATGAGCCAGGGCTGTGGGGGCAGGTGGGAGTGAGTGTGCTTGCCTAGCTGACTAGCTGACTAGCTGCCTAGGTGCCTAGGTGCCTAGCTGACCCAATGCTGATTATTAGCCATGGCTCGTGGTCGCTCTTGCCAACTGCAACAGCAACTGCGAAATGGGGCTGGAATTGGAGCCATGTTGGTGGCATGTTTGAGTTATGGCCACGTTAAGAGCTTGTAGCAAATATCTATAGATTTCTGTGTGACATACATACATATATATTTTAAATGCATTCATACTTATAAATGCATTCATACTTATATCGTATAATGGCGATAAGACCAAGTTCTCAAATTGAAGTGGGCATCAATTGCTTCAAAATAGTAGAAGGACAACTTATTTTCACCGAAAGACTGTCTTAATAATTGAAATCTGCATAACGTTAAACTATCGATTAGTGTACAAAATAACAATCAAAGCTGCCAGCAATGATATAAAAAATAAAAACAGTCTGGCAACTCTCTCAGTGCGCTTATAATAAACAACAGCAGCTAATTATCAGTTGAAAGATTACTAAAAGTGAACCGCATGCAACTCTAGTGGAACAGTTCGCACGCTATCTAAAGTGAACTCTGCAGGCAGTACTCACTGTAGATTTGCAGGAAAAGCGGCATTTCGCTTCCTCGCGATGGCGTTTCCCATGTCGACTTTGCTGCTTGGCCATAACTCAACGTGAGTCGTAATCGCATTAAATATCTTTCGCAAACTAGCCCCGACTCTCCTGATAAAATAACGAGAAATATCACATGTCAACACGGATCAAATCGGTTTAGTGTGGTCCACTCGATCGCCGTCGCCGTTGCCGTTTGCCGTTGCCGTTTGCCGATTCCCGATCTTCTCACGGCCGCTGCTCATTAGCATGTCAAATGGCACGCCGGGCCTATGGCCGACTACTTCTTCTACTTCTAGACTGACAAACAGAAAGTGACACCCTAATTAAATATTTAATCTCAATTTATGCTTATGCCTCTATTTTGAAATGAAGTCTCAACCTCCGCCTTGACTTGGCTAACTTCAACTTGTATTTCAATTTCAATGTCTTTTCTATATTTTACAGATCTCGCAGCGCCACGCCCTCATCCGCAACGTATCGCAGTGGCGGCAGCAGCGGCGGCGGCGGTGGCAGCATTTCGCCCATTCAGCAGCAGCAACAACAACAACTTCAGCAACAACAGCAACGTTTGAGCCCGCCCAGCTCTCAGACCCACATGCCCCTGCACAATTTGTCCACAAATCTGTTGAACAGTTTTCAACAGGCGGCCGCAGCAGCCGCTGCCAGCAGCAACAACAATACCAGCAACAGCAGCAGTCAGCGCAGCAGCGTCAGCAACAGCAACAGCAACAACACCGTCGCCGTCGGCAGCGGCGCCGGCAGCGCTGTCACCAGCCCAGTGGGGGCAACAACAAGTGCCCCAGCAACAAATGCCACGGATTTCTCCACGCGCAACTATTCGGATATCATGCGCTGCCTCGCAGCCAAATACAACAATGCCAATCCCAATGAGTAAGTGCAGCGGATAAGGTTGGGGCATAAGTTAAGCGGCTGGAAATGTGTTCTACGTAATTTATAGGCTGTATATATTATTAAAAGGAAAAGTAGTACACTGAAATCGATATTGAACTGTAAATACAAGCATATAAAATCAAAATATTTGTAAATTAGTATTCCTGTATACCATAAGCAGAACAAGAATATTATTTTATCGATAACTCATTATGCTTGTAATATAACTCGGTTTATCATGCCATAGACCTTCAACTTTACTGCACAGCTCCCTGTGATTAAGAAACAGATTTTTCGAAGTCGTACACCTCCTCTGTTTCTCGTTATCGAAAACTCTTTAGCTCCAGTTCGTTGATCAAATTTCAAGAAAGATGAGTCACAGTTTTGATATTTAAAATTATAAAATAATAAATTGGCCCACACCCAAAACATACAATGGGAAGTTACTCGGTCTGTGAATTATGTTGAAGCAACTAGCATTTAATTAACATATGTTTAACATAGCCAGTTATTTAAATTAATTTTTAACCAAATCAATAAATAATATTAATAAATAATAATAATAAATGAACTAAATCAATGTAGACATAATATCAGGTGCATATGTAGAATACTTAGTAAGCTGCATTTATTTGTATTTTATGATTAATTCCTTCATCTCTGATTAACCAATCCCCCCCTTTGATCTCCGCTCTATTATTAACAGTCATCATGCAACCCGTCGCAATTCCTACTACGACAGCAGCGGCAGCAGCAACGCTGGCGTCGCTGTTGCTGCTACCGCTTCGACTGGCGGCACGGAACGCAGCGGCGCCAAGGCGAGCAATGTTAACAGTGGCAGCACTAGCAGCATCAGCAACAGCAACAGCAACAGCAACAACAACAACAGCAGCAGCTGCAACATCAGCAACAGCAGCAACAGCAACACCAGCAATTCGAGTAGCAAAAAACACTCGCCAGCCATCGCAGCCAGCTTGAGGGAGGTCAAGGAGTGCGCTGCCACATTGTCGGGCGGCGGTGGCAGTGGCTCCATAGTGGGCGTGCCAGTTGGCGTGGGCTCCACTGTGGCCGGCAGCAACAGCCTGCCACTGGCTGCGTCCCAGTCACCCACAGAGCAGGCCAAGAGCCAAATGGCCGCCGTGGTGGCCGCCGCCAGCGTTTCGCCATTCATGAGCAACTTTTTGCCCTTCTCGGGTGGCATTTTTCCAATGATGGACATGAGCAGCACCCAGGCGCTGTTAACGCTGGTAAGTCGGCCAACAGCAAGCACACACACACCCACACCCACATACACCTTCCTCACAAGCTCTCTCCCTCTCACTCTCGCACTTTCTGTTTCTCCTCTCCTCTATGCAGGCGCGTGCTGTCAAAGATGCTGAGATACAGCAAATACTGCGCGGCAAGCAACAGCAGCAGCAGCAGCAACAATTGCATATAAAAGGCAGCAGCTCGAATGCCTCGTCGCCCAGTGCCAGCGCATCGAGCACGCCACGTCCCAGTTTAAATGCCGCGCTGCAGCAAGCGGCGCAATTTGTTACACCCGCTTTAATCTACTCGGCGCAATTGCAGCAGCAACAGCAGCAGCAACAGCAACAGCAGCAACAATCGCATAACGCCTCGCGTCAGTCTAGTCCACGTTGCAATGCGGAGGCTGCAAATGTTGCAACTGCAGCAGCAGCGGCAGCGGCGCCGTTGGACTTGAGTTCTCAGCCGCCAGCTGCCAAACGTTTTAAGGCTGAATCATCCACAGCAGCAACAACAGCCGCAGCAGCAGCAGCAACTGTTGCCACTGCAAGCACAGCATCGAGCACACCTTCCCCGCCACTTATGGAGCAGAAGCCAACACTGAATACAGCCGAGGGCCAAAGCAACGCCAACGCAACAGCAACATCAGCAGCAACAGTTGCTGCTGCAGCAACAGCAACAGCAGCAGCAGCGACCGSAGCAACGTCGCCAGCGGGCACAGTGCGTCAGTGTCAGGCGCAAAGCGAGGAAGTGAACTCCTGGTCCGTGGACGATGTCTGCACCTTTGTGGGTGGAATTGATATATGCGCCGAATACGTACAGGTAAGCAGCAACAACAACATTTCGACCACCTTATACATACATATACAACATACATTCACACATACATATAAACCAGCTTGAGCCCAGCTCTTTGGCTGGCACATGCAAATTGCTTTAAATTGCCAGCAGCCCCACAACCCTCTCGATCCGACTCCTAATTAATGTTTATGGAGCACATTTTGTTTGTTATCTAGATACAAGCCCACGCTCGATTAAGATAGCGACTCGGAGGGAGAGGGATATCGAAAGAGCGTGAGAGAGAGAGAGAGAGAGAGAGAGGGAGGGAGAGAGAGAGAGAGAGAGAGAGGGAGGGAGACCAATTACCATTTAGCCAAAGTGTATAACCAATCTGCAAATCTTCAAAGTCTTGAAATAAAAACTGAAGCGGGTCTTACCTGAAACTAAATTCCACATTATACTTCATATGGGCTATGCATCAGCTCAAACTATTGAAAAATAATCGGCCTCATAATACAATCTGATAATACGAGACAATAATAGCAATGGAATTGTAGAGCATTTAAAGACTAAACTTATCGCTGTAAAGCGTCCAGATAGTAAACTAATATTAAAGGGCTGCAGAATGCTCGAAAAGATAAGATAATGTTGTCCGAAAAGAAATTAAAAGAATTATCAATAAACCAATTGCGAAACCTAATCAGTTTTCAGCTCGAACTCAATCGCAGCTGTTTTTATATCATCTCTGCTCGGCGCACCACGTAACCTTTTTAGAATGCTATTAAGAAATCTTGGATTTACGCAATTTTTATTAGTTTTCCTGGTAAAGTAGGCCCTGCAGTCGAACAAACGTAACTAAGTCTTCTTTCTCTTAACACAATTTCCCACTCTTTTAATCATCGATGCCTACTTGTGGTGCTTCAAAATATCTTTGTTTTCAATGTCGACTTGTAGCTCTAGAGCTCCAACAAACATGAGTTGTATTCCTGCCTGATTTAACCCACCCCATTATATATGATTCTAAAGATCTATGACTTACTCGTTGTTCCTAAAGATCTTTATCTCAGTCTATATTTGTTTTCTGATTCAGGTATCGTAAGTCTATCTTCTCGAGCCCGAGCTAACTTACTAACTCTTCTCTTAACTCATTTTTCCACTCATCTTATTATGGGTGATCCTAAAGATCTTTGAATTGCCATTTTCCTCAACTGCATTTGCTGGCCTGACATCTAGACAGACTCTATACATCTGGCATGTCTGCTTCATTTGTAGTCTCCATTTCAATTGTATCTTATCCTGAATAGACTGTAGATCATCTATCCTATGGCCCCATTACTGTCAAAGTTCATTTACCCAATGGCAATTCGCACTTTTACAAAAGTCTTCGGTCTGCGCTCGCTTGGCTTTTGCCCAGCTTCCTGTCAGCCCCATTGGCATGCCGCAAGATTAACTATGCGTTTGAACTTGGCACTGCGACTGAGACAGACTGGAACTGGGGCTCGGGCTTTAGATGGGGAGCATGTGCAGCGGGATCTGAACTCCATTGGCGGCCATTAATATTGTGTGTGCCACGCGAGCGTCGCCTCTACTGCTGCTTCTGCTGCTGCCTGATTCTTGTTGTTGTTGTTGTTGTTGTTGTTGTAATAAAGCTGCGAATGCGGCCAAGTGACTGGCATCTCAGCCAAGAACTCTATCTCGCTCTAGTTGTCTGTCCGAGTGTCCAAGCTAGTTGCTCTGGTTGCTCCACATAGCGCGATGTTGTTGTGGCCCAGGTGATCTTTTACGACCAGTTCCGGCAAGTTGAACGACTTTTGATCGGTCAGCCGCTTGCGGTCGACGATCGGTCAACGTCAGGCGTCATTAAAGCCACAGTCAGAGTGCCAGAGCCAGAGCCAGAGCCAGAGCCAAAGCCAGTCTACAGATCCTGCTACACGCGTTAATGGAGGTGAAAACACGGCCACAGCCTCTGCTACGACCAGTCAGCCACGGCCTACCTCAACAACACTGTCCGTCCGGCCGTCCAACCTTCGTCCGTCCGTGCGACCGTCTGCAAGAAATGAAAAGATAGCGTTAACAATTAACATGAAGCTGGAGCTTTAGGTGTTGACACATTTTGATGCATATTAGCCGCTAACATGGCCACATCTTCAGCCACCTTCCGCCAGCTCCACCAGCTCCTCCTGCTCCTCGTCATCCTCTGCCTCTGTTGATAGTCGCCTAATTAGCGAGGCCCAAAAGCCGCTTACCACCCGGTCCATTGAAATCTGCTTACACACAGTTCAAAAACGACATTTGCTGATATGTTTGCGAACCAGTTTAACTATCACACATACACACGCACATACATAGACCCACACACACACACAGTCACTTTTTTCTGCTTGCTCCGCCCCATTTTTGCGATAGACAAAAAGCCAATTGGCGTAATATTCAATTGAATTTATGGCCACAACGACACTTGGCCAGTTGCCTCAAAGACTTACACCTTTTGTGGCATGCATGCACCGATGCAACGCTGCAACACTGCAACGATGCACCGATGCATGCATGTTGCATGCAACTTGTCCCTCTATGTTAGAAGCGACTTTGTCGCTGCGCCTCTGTCTGTCTGTCTGTCTCGGCATTTGAGATATTGCGGAGGTTGTAAATATTTAGTGCAGAGGTTGCTGGGCAAAACAATATATATATACAGATACAATATATATATACATATA